CGGAGGAATTTGAATTATGACATTTCGAAATACTTTCTACTATTTGTTAAATGTGACTACCCTTTCTGTTGTTTGAGTCATGTGGATGTAAAAGGAGAGATGCGAAATTTTTGTTGCTACTTCGCTGGTTTTGCGAGCAACTTCCTTTTAATTAAGCAATTGCTTGACGGGTTTTGTTCTTCAGGTTATTTTTGGCAGGACCTTTGCTGTAAATGGCGATGAATATTCGGACTGTTGAGCAGCTTGCTTTGCTGCCTCCTGATTCTTTTTATGTCACTGTAAACGGCCGTTTTGTAGATTGGAAACTTCTTCATGAAGGATCAGTATTTTCCGTGCACTTTAGACTTCGCGGCGGCAAAGGAGGTATCTCTATGTTTTTTTTTTTCTTTTTGCATATTGATTCTTAGTGAAACAGCAGTCTAAGGTAAGTTTCGCTGCAGGTTTTGGTTCGCTTTTGCGTTCTTTTCGTATTCATCGGTCAACAAATCAGCTAATGTGTCGGGACTTAAGCGGTCGACGATTGGCTGATGTTAAAGAGGAGGAGAGGTTGCGCAAGTGGATAGAAAGAGCGGGTGAACGAGAATCGGAGAAAAGAAGAAGAAGGTAGACTATTTTACTTTGTTGACAAGATGCATTTATTTTCTACATTTTTAGCTGAGCATTTTTGTCGAGGAGCTTTGACTAGATTTCTTTATAAGATTTTAAGTGGGATGCCGCTTTGGCTGATGTAATGTCCGGTGAGTAGTTCTTAAAATGTTATTTTTAGACGTGAGAAGTATGAGAAGTTAAAAGCAGGACCTCCGAAGCACCAGTTCAGTGACCCTGACTACTTCAAAGCACGAGAGAAAATTTTGGATGAGACTGACGATGCATTTGAAGCTGGTACTTTGCAGTTCTTGATAATTATGATACAGTTTCTTATTATTGTCATGCATGTAATCAACATTCAAATTTTTAGGGTTGTCAGCATTATCGAAGAGAAAAAATGACGGAAAAGACGCCATTGATTGTGCTAGCTCGTCTGAAAGTGATGACAGCGATATAGATCCGTCACTTCCTGGCCCAAGCAAAAGAGGATTAAAAAGGAAGCAGGGCTGCAAGATTCTTCAGAGCAAACGATTAAAATTGGAAAACGCTAGCGCGAATATTGTTCCTGTTAAGGTTTTAGGAGCGAAGAAGACGTCTAAAGCGGCGGAAAGTGGCGTGAATAGCGTTAAGCAAGGCGCAGTGACCAATATAAAAAATGTCATTGTTACCGTGGATGGACAGCGTGACATTAAAAGCCAGTCTTCAAAAACATATAATGAAGGTGAAACACGTGATGAGAAGACTAGCGCGTTAAATGAGGAAGCACGGACGTCTTCAAGTGATGCGTTGGGTTTTCCCGAGATAAATCTTGATGAATTTCAAGATACTCACTCACTTCAGAAATTAGGGCTTGATCATCTGAAAGCTGCTCTTGAAGGTAGACAGCAGTAATTTGTTTTAAGTGGGTCCAACGACACAGTTGTTTTCTTTTAAATGTACTCATATCGTTTTTCAGTTAGGGGCATGAAGTGTGGCGGATCTTTAGAAGAGCGTGCTTCACGGTTGTTCGCTGTCAAAGGTTTAAAGCCCGAACAGTATCCTCAGTCAGTGATGGCTGCATCGAAGAAGAAAAGATCAAAGAAGGCAGCGGTTTGACTGCAAAATAATAGCAAATTATTTCAAATTCTGAATGTTTTGTCATGATCTGCAATGTTCTGTGGCTGTTGTTGTTGTTTACTTATTTACTTTTTTTTTGAGTTATTCACTTTCGAGATTGCTATTTGGCTTTGGTAGTGGTATCTTTTTGTTTTTTCTTTTTTGTTTTTGTTTTTTTTGGTTTTGTTTTTTGTTTTATTTTCCTTGCTTTTGCTTCATATACTACCCGTAGACACTTAAAGTTGTTAGTTGGATTTTGGACCCACTGCCTTTTCTTTTTCATGTATTATTTGTGAGTCGTTGTGTAAATAAGATTTTTTTTTTTTGCATCTGGCTTTTGACTCATGCTTATGCTTCACTACATCATTTGCAGCTATTTATTGTTAATACTATCATAAACAAGTTCCATAGTAGTTTATGAGGACGTTGAGACTTTTAAGCGGCGGATCGTTGTTTTCTTTCAGTACTTTTGCGAGGTACTGTTGTTTTACTCAAAGATGGTGAACAGCAATAATTTTGATTTACTGCAACAGTGCAGGCTTTGTCAACTGGAAGTGGTTTGGATCTGGATTCTGTTTATCTATGCAGTTGTTCGTTTTGGACGTAGGGGTAAATTGGGGTTTCATTGGTGTTGATTGGTTTGGACCGTTCAGGAAGTTGACAGGGTCTGGCATTGGAGTGGTATTGTGGTAGAATTTGCTGTTCTTCAGAGCGACAAGTGTTGAGTTGAGGTGTTTACGAGCGTTTGGCAAAGGGTGCTGGAGATTTCTTTTTCTATCCATAAAATATCAGATTGTTCTTAAGTAAGTTTGCATGAGTGCTTTAAGGTGTGGATTTGGCATGGGTGGTGAAGTACATTTGGATCCAGCAGATACAGAAGACGGATTTTTGTTTGATGTGAAGGGACGGAGTGTAGAAGACCCTGAAACTTTAAGCACTTTGCTGGAAATTAGGGCGCAGGTTGGTTTAGTGTAAATTTTGCTCGGAATGATAAGGCAGAATTTTTAGAACTCGTATCCGTGTAATTTGTTGGGTTCGCCAGCTCGTGACTGGCTTCATTTTTCACAAGCATTTCTTCTGTTTTCTTAAGGGCGAAATTCCTGCCATTTTAGGCCGAACGGGCTTTAGATGCGTTGGTGAAAATGGTTGAAAAGAAAGGGAAAAATACACTTTTTCCAGAAATTGATCAGGCATTGGATGTTTTGTGTGTTTATAAGAAACCTTCAGCTACGAATCCTGGCATTTTAAGGAAAAAAATGTCAGTCAGTTGGAAATTAGTTTTGATTTGGAAGCGTAAGGCTTTCTTTGTATGAAGAGTCAAGTCGTTTAGAGTTTGCTTATAATTTGTAATTTTTGTACCACTCGTCGTACGAATTTTTTAGCACTGTATTCTTTCAATTTTTTGCTTATATCTCAGTTATGAGACTTAAAATGAGATTCTGGTTTTTATGTTTTATTTCTTTTTGGGTATAAGGTTTGAAATTTTATTTCTTATTAATAACGTTAGTTTTTCAGAATTTTGCCTCATCCTTACTACAACGAAGATAATTGTACCGTTTGTCTCATATTGCGTGATATAGAAATTGCAAAGTCTAGGAAAGATTCTGATGTTGATAAGGATGCTCGTAAATGGGAAGAAGTTTTATACACGGAGCATGGCATTACGAGGAAACAGGTACAAAAGGTAATTGTGTTCTTTGTTAACCATTATTCCGCCATCATTGTAATAAATAATACGTTTAAATTGACTCGTTTCATATTTTATGGTATAGAACTATAGATAAAGGTGGTATTATTAAAAAACATGGAAAGTGAAATGAAAAAAGTTTATTTTTTAACAAAACTCTGTACTTAGGGTTTATGCTTTTTTCCAGGAACCACAGTCAGATTTCTACATTTGATATTGTAAGTTTTTTAGATCATGACGGTGTCACAAGTGTCTCGCGAGTATGCAGCATATGATGACAAAAGGAAACTTGCCGCTGCTTACGATTTATTTCTGGTCGACTCTGTTGTTGGAAAGATTGTTGCTCAAAAGTTTGGGAAAGAGTTTCACGTAAGGAGGAAGTAAGCCCTTTATACTTTGATTATAATGTTGTATGATTTTCAGCAACCTCCGTAAGACCTGTTCAGGTTGTTTTTAAGCAATTGCTCTCTTTCCTGTCGACAGAAAGGCTTTAGCCAAATTGTAACTTCAAGTTATTTGCCTGGGAATTGCGCACTGCTTTGGTTTTGAATATTCATATTTGGTCCTGTATTTCGCGTCTTAGCAACTTACACCAATGAATAGAGTTATTTGCCTGGGCGTCGTAGCGGCTTTCATCAATAAATAATGTTGATTTTGCAAGGTTGAAGCGTTTAAAAACGCTTTTGCAGTCCAAGTTCTTGCTCTCTCTACACGTTCAACTTCAAATGAGTTCTATGAAATTTATTGTATTTCATTCCCTATGGATTAAAATCAATTACTTTTGAAATTGTTCCAGAAAAAACTTTGTTTCTGTTTACAGGATGCCAGTATCTATCAATGTGAAGAGACGGATTCGAGACCAAATTAAGCTTGCCTACGGCACAATATACCTTCCGTTATCGGCTAATCGTACGAGGGTGTAAGTTCCTTTCTGACTATCATCTTGGCCAGCTATATTTTAGGGAAATTCAAAATGTTTCGGGGCTTGCAACGTTTATTTATTTTTAGAAGTTTGCACATAGGGAATTTGAGCCAGATTAGAACGGATATTCTCGACAACATCCAAGAAGCTGTCGCTCGTTTATTCGAAAATTGTCCTTGTGGGAAGAAAAATGTTCGCAGCTTATACTTACGAGTAGCTTGCGATGGACAGTGCTTGCCCTTGTATATTGATCTCGGTAAGTTTTCTGAAAGAGTATCTCGTTGGTTTTTGGTGTATTTGCGTGGACATTCAACGACACTTTTAAAAACTTCAAATCGTGATGTTATTGAATTTTTTATGCAAGTAACGAATGCTCTGAAATTTATAATAATTTTTCCTAGGTAGCGCAAATAATGTAAATATGCCTAAGGCAACAGCAAAGTTCAGAGCAAAGGAGGAAATAATAGAGGAAATCTCCACTTTGCCCGATGGTCTTGCTGTGAGGGTACGGCGAGATGGCAAAATTCGTGTTGTGGATTCTGAAAGTTAGTTTCTTGTATTATTATTATTATTATTAGTGAGCATACTTTTCTAAGCAGCTACAAAGCTACAAAAGTCGGTTCGGCGACAGTGACATTGATATGTTTCAAGAGGAACTGGTAGGTAAGATGATCCTAAACCATTGGCGTTTTACTTCCACGTATAGCTCGAGCTTTCCTCTGACTCTGTGACTTTAACTTGATAAAGTCAAATTTTTGGTTTATTGATGCTTTCATCCACGAGATCGGTTATTGCTCACCCTGTTTCTGATCACTTATCTTTTCAAAAAGAGCCTTTATGTTGAAATATATTTTAAGCAAGGAAGGCTGCTTCTCCTGAACGTTGGATGAATCAGGACAGTAATGAAAAGCTGGATTCTGGTAAAAAAAAGAAAGTTCTTTCTAGAAAAGTGAGTCTTTTTGGTAACTGCTAACTCTTGAGTGGAACGTTCCATCACTTCATGCCATTTCATCTATAGGAAGCATCCAGATTAAAAATGCAGAGATTGAGAAGGAGGAAGAAGATTATGAAGAAGCAACAGCATATTACAAGCTTGAAGAAAGCGTTTTCAAAAACTCTTGCCAATACCAAAATGAATAAGAAAAGCCATGAAGAACTTTCGAGTGGTGGATACAAGGACGCAGATGTTGTTGGAAGATCTATTGAAGATAGCAAAGATTCTACAAAGAATAGAATGGAGGTGAATATTAGTTTGAAATCAAAAAGACGACTGAAGAGAAAAGCGGAAAATTCGGGTCTTGGAATCAAGTGGAAACTTCTGAAAAGAAGTACTTGAGGTCGTTAATTTTCCTCTTTGTTATAAAATTATTTTCATTTTCAAAGCCTTGTTGCTGTTATATAACTAGTGTTATTTTGAAGGGGTTTTTCAAAATTCTGTAAAATGTGATTTCTTTATTGAATTTGTTTACAAGTCTATTTAAAGAATGAAATATTGAAATTCCTTTATCTTCAAGAGATAAGAGTCAAGGGGATGAGTATTTGTACTGGTATTATATAAAAACTTATTATCAAAGGCATGAATGCCTCTATTTGTCAAATATGTTGTAATACCTCGTTCAAAATATCATAATTTCCTCTCTTTAAGTTTTCTTTTTGAGAACCAGTGATTTGGTCAACTGTTCAAGTGCCTTTTCTAAGGTTTTCTAAGGTACGGCAACCACTATTGAATTTTTTCATCCTACAACAGTAAATCAATATCGGTAGGTTCTTAGGAAATCTAATCAGTTAAGAAGTAACAACAGGAGCAGTTTCGGGTAGTACACCGTTTTTGTTCATTTATCTTTTTTTAGCTTCAGTTATGTCTAAGCATCTCCTTTTTTTCTTTGGAACTAGCATTAAGTCGAATTTCGCGCTCAGGAAAACTTTCATCAAACTGTACTGCTGACTGCATGTTGCATGATCATTGCCCGCTTTGCTCTGCAATAGTAAGCTTTTGGATTGAATTCCCATTTATTTCGTGCTACTTTAGTGCTTTATCCACCCAACAACTTTGTTTGCACTTATTTTTCGATATTAGATGAAAACTTAATTGGATGTTGTGGTTAAAAAAATTGAGTCATTGGAAAATTTGTCGTTAATTGTTCAAGCAAACTGGGATATCAAATTTCACAGACCACCATTGACTATCTAAGATGGCTTTGCAACTCTTATTTGAATTCTTTGAATTTTTGGAAGAGTTCATAAAGAAAGGTGCGGGACTCTTCGTGCGCTTTTACACAGTCTTGTTCAGGGAAGGCTGTAAAGGCTCACATGACAAAATCGTTCCGATCTCTTTGTCACCAGTTCCAGCTTGTCGTAATGGTCTAGTAGCCCCTGGCTATAAACCAAGCACCATTTGAAAGATTGCTTAAGTGTGCAGATAGTAGGCGCTTACTGGCTACTGTTTTGGAGTTCCACTGTTTTTTGCTTTTTTGATGGAGTGGGTGTCGTTTTAAATGCTTAAGGACATACTGTATGACATTTATTATAGAATACTCTGTGACCAGGTGATATTTATCTTTAAGAAAAAAGGCTGTACAAAGAAAAAAATTTAACAAATATTCAAACAAACTCGTGGCTTAGCAGTACTGCGGATCGCAGTTTAACTATGAATATAGTACATTTCGTTTGTAGGAAAAACATGAGCGAAAAGAAACAATTGCAAACAGAAAAATAAAGTGAATTGCTTTTTCGTTGTCATCATTGCTTTACGTGCCAGAAATGTGAAGCCTCTTAGGTATGTTATACGGGGAAGTCGTATCTTTTTGTTTTAGATATACTTTACTTGCTCAGTCTAATCCCACACTTAAATGCAGTGTTCCCGAATTCGAAGTCTGAATTTTTTGCGGCTGTAAATCATTTGCAAAGAAACAAAAATTGGAAAAAACTTGGGCGCAAAGTAGAGGAGTCAGTTGCAAAGAAAAGGAAATATTACGGCAAAGGACAGTAAGTCCTTGTGAAAACTAGTGAGAGCGCATTAAAGCATGCTTTTCAACGTTTAGAAAAAAATCCAAAAAATAACGAAATGAAAAGTACAGTACGACGGCGACTAAAAACACGTGGACAAATAAATATCTTTAATAACAACTTGGATGACGGCGACTTTCAAGCAATTTGTTCATCCGATTTTCATCCAGTTCTTTTGCAAACGATACACCACCATTTACAACAAACAATTGCCAAAGAACTTCCCTTTTTTGCTTTTTCATAGTGATCAACAGTTGAGCGCGTTTTTTTTTTCATTTTTTTCCTCTCCTTATTTGGAGTTTGTAGCGCTGAAGAATTGTTTAGCGCTGATGTGGAATATTATATGGAACAAAAGCAGAAGCAGTTTCGTGGCAGCACTTGTTTTCCCGTCTTCAATACTGGGCCAATAAAATCGTTTTTAAAGCGAGTGCAAGAACTTTGCAGTTTTCAAACGTAGCTTACGTCAGAACCGGAGAAAAGAACACCAGCTGACGGTAAGCACATCTTGTTGCCGGACATGGTGAAAGCGGCTTCATGGCTGAGGTCCGGCTTTAGACCTGAGTTCCTTTCAGAGCCATAACAAATATTACCAAAGTTACGATTCATGCTCATGCTCATATCAGATAGATTCAAAAAGCAATCATCACTGTCTTCGTTTCTGGTAAAGAACTGCTGTCCCTACAAAATTGATAAACCACAGAATTTTAAGAAAACACAAGCAAACTCTAGTGTGGATGGAAACAACAAAATCTGCAGCATTTTCAAAAAACACCAACGATTATTGATGCAGGTGAAAAAATAACAAAACTTGAAGACTTCTGCTTATCAAAATATGCACAAGCTAATAGTAAAGGAAGGAAGAACAACAAACTTTGATATACTCACTACGCCGATAAAATGTGAATAAACAACAGTATGATTTGGTTGCGAGCGAAAGAATTTTTCTAAGTTACAGAATTTTTTTTGCCAGTAATGAGAAGGATTCTTACTGCCTAACAATTGTGTAACTGTTGTAGCACTAGGACTACAGTAAAAACAAGT